AGATCACGGATACCCACACGTGTGATCTATGATGGCAGTGCTAGCTGATTGCTTTTAAGAAAAATGACGTGTTAAACTTGAGCTAAGTTTCTCCAAATATGTTTGAATCTTAATTAACATGAAGTTAATTAAATAGAGCTCCGTATCACGCATCGAATTTGTTAAAATATAATTCTCTCTTCGTCTTTTACCTAACTTAAATTTACTATTTGTTAATATGTTTTATTGTACCAGTGATATATTTTTGTTTTGTATACCAGGAAACTCCAATGCATAATCAGTTCATGTTTTACATAGCTTGGAGCCTGTCTTTGTATTAAGTAAAATACATAGTATAGTGAAAAAATTGAAATCTTTATGAAATATTAAAGAATGTGACACTTAAAAGAATTGATACTTGACGGGCTTGGCTTGCTCGAAATAGAATGGAAGGAACAGTTGTGCTAACGTAAGCAAATGCCACGTTTCAACAACCAATCAGGATCGAGATACCCACACTAAGTCATTTGCAGGTATACCATTATTGCATAATCTAAAAGTATCTGTATCCCCAAATATACTCCGAAATTTTCAAAATTAAAATGTTTCACCTGATGATCCCATTAGATTTAACAATTAATATCGAAAAAAATGGCAAACATTTATTTACATAAAAGCAATGAAGATCCATATTTACCATTACCAGACTTCCCTCCATTACATCCCGCATAATTAAAATCATTAAATTTTGACTGCAATTTATCAACAAAAGATGGACTTGAGATATTCACGGACAGTTCCAGGTTAATTTAAAAATGGTGAATACAAAGTAGGATACGCATTCGTAATATATGTCCCGCAACTTCAGATTATTCAACAGTTTTCAAAGCAGAATTATGGCGATACTTCAGTCACTCCACTGGATACACCAAAATAATATCAATAGTGAAACAAACATTCATTTATTCTGACTCACACTCCAGTCTTCAAGCAAGACAAACACGAATGATTTACCTAGTTGAAATGATAAAAAAATACTTACAGCACTATTATTAAATTCCACTGGATTAAAGCCCACAAAGGTTATAAGGACAATGAGGAAGCTGGCAGACAGGCCAAATTTGAATGTCAAAAATCAGCAATAGATCTATATGACATACCATCAAAACAGACAACAGAACTTATGAAGAATAACATTTCAACATGGCACAGATGGGATAACAATAATGCAAAGGACCGTCACACTTACCAATTTATCCCAAATGTCAGTAATCAAAAATCTACTCTAACTTCTAGATCAATCAATTTCTAACTAACCATGGAGCAAAGGGTAGTTATCAGTCAAAAATGTTCGGGAACGACCCGAACTGTAAAGTTTGCAACATTTAGGAAAATATTGAACACATACGTACTTACTGTTTACTTGATATACGATGGTTTAAGAATTATATTTTTCCCGAAACAATTCAACTTTGATGCTACTAAACGAAACTGGAACCAAAAGAAAATATACGAAGGAATTGAGGAGATCTTTATAAGACTTTATGGGAAATGTATTCAGGATTTGGTCTAAACTCATCCTACACTTAAGGTCACATTCGTAATTCATCAGTTTTAAAGTCTTCCGTCTCTAATCTGCATCATTGGAATCTTTTTCACAGCAACGCAATTGAGAAGCCGGATGAGGATTCTGAAAGAACGGAGAAATGAGATACGGTTAAACGATGATACATAAAACAGTGAAATGGGAAAAAATTTAAGCGCTTGACTTTTAATCTTCAATAATATGAAACACATAAAACTGACTTATTTCTGGTAAAAACTTAACAATTGACAATTTTACGACTGCTTCTATTGAAGTGTGAACTTTGAATAGACTTTTCGTTTTCCCTCTATAATATGCTGTACACTTGTGAAGGCAATCATCTATTAATCTGTTTTCTCATGTCTTGTCTTGTTTATATTTTATTTTGTATTCCATTGGGTTACAAACCAGCTCTGACTCTTTGATATTGTTAACATCGTTTTAAATTTAAATTTTTTTTTCTTATGCATATTTTCAGAAATATGTAACTAAAATAAATTTCATGCAGACTCTGTCAGCTTTGCAAAAAAAAAAAAGAAAAAACATTCCTAATTGTTACAGCTACCGTGCTGAACAGAATCAGCAAAATAATTTCATAAATTTATTTTCATTCTTCAGTTTAAAAAAAGTTATAAGGTGATAATTTGAAAACCAAAAAAAAAAAAAAAATTAATATGTAATGTCTTCAAAAATTATCCTACATGAATTTCTATTGATTAATCAAATGAAATAAAACTGTTTTATTTTATTTCCAGGATTTGTTATCATGGCGATAACACTGATTCATTACTCACAACTTACGTCCTAATGTTTTTTAACATGAAATTAAAAAGATTTTTACAAATTACAAATGTTCGAAGTATAATGTTGGTATATAACAGGAGAATTTTCCTCAATGCACGGAATTGAAGAAAAGAAACCTAAAATATTGCCTCTATAATATAGCTATAACGTAATAATTTTCTTTGTTCATAAATTTATAACCTAGTTGACAAATTTTAAATTAGTTGTTTTAATTTTGGACAAGTTGCTCATTTCAACCTAATCGTTCTGGTTTTAACAAAGTTACAGTAATTTTTACCTAGTTGTTATGATTTCAACCTAATTAGTAATTTTAACCTAGGTTTGGGCGCGGTATAGCCAAACCATGACTCTTGCGCCAAACATTTACATCAATCAAATCATAAATTTAAAAAAAATAATAATTATGAGAAAAAAAAACTCAAATTCCAATGTGCTTAGATAAAAATATTTCTTAAACATCATGTATAGGCCATTTATTAATAGGTAATCTTTGGGTTTAAAGTAATAAGATAGCTTAATGGGTAATTTATAGACTTTTATCTTAAAGGTCATTTATAGGCCAAAATCCTCATTCGTTAGTCCACAAAATCTTTTGTAAAAAACAGCATATAATGTTGGAAAAAAGTCTAATGAAAGCTGCTAAGTATGAAATTATCAGCATAAAAAGTCTATCCATCCATATGCTTATTCTTCATAAAAGCAATGGGCCCCGCAATATAATAACACGGTTTTCAGTAGAACACCAAAGTCAAGCATCACTGGCTGCATTCAATAAGCGGTTGGGTGACCACTTTGATCAGCCTGCTTAGGGACCGAGGGTGCACGGCATCGATCCTCGTTAAACTGTTCTACATTAAAGTGCTCGAATTTGCAAGAAGGTCGTCGGGCTACAAGAGCGGGAGACCCATCCACCTGCAAAGAATCAAAATTGTAATGGCATGTCTTCGAATCATCCTCAGGGATGTTTCTCAGACAGTCGCTAATATGCCGTTGATTGTTGTTGTTGTTGCTGTTAATTTACGTCGCACTAGAGCTGCACAATGGGCTATTGGCGACGGTCTGGGAAACATCCCGGAGGATGATCCGAAGGCATGCCATCACAATTTTGATCCTCTGCGGAGGGGATGGCACCCCCGCTTCGGTAACCCGACGACCTGCGCGCGAAGTCGAGCACTTTACGGTAGCACAATTTAACGAGGACCAATACCGCACACCCTCGGTCCCTACGCAGACTGATCCAAGTGGTCACACAACCGCACACTGACCGCAGCCAGTGATGCTTGACTTCGGTGATCTGCTGGGAACCGTGTCTTAACGATCAGTCCACTGCGAGACTAATATGCCGTTGAGCAGCTCTAGTGCGACATAACCTGTTCCCATAAAAAGCAAAAGCAATTAATTTTAAATTGTTGTCAAGGTGTAAACATTTATAATCGAACCTTATATATTTCTGTAACTTTCTTTTCCTTTGGTGCACCCCCTTCTCTCAGACAACGAACATAAATACTATGTTTGCATAGTGTCTTCATGAATCTGAAACAGGTGCAAATAATAAAGCAATTAAAACAAAAATTATTAAAATTTAATAGAAAATTTTAAAATACAAAATAGTATTTAAAACTTCGTATCGTAAGTGAAGTAATGAAAAATTAAATAGAAATCAAAAATCTTAAGTTTTTTTAAAAGTCTGCCCCAAAAAATTTGCTATTTACCAGGGTTTTCCCAAACTTTGCAATGCTTGGGATTAGCAATTGAACTAGGCTACTGATGACACAAAGCAGAACTCTCTACCTATGGAAAACTCCGCATGCTTTCAACATTAGCGTGTGAAGAATCATGGGAGAAGGAAATACGTAATACGTTTCTGATTTTCAAATAAATTAAAAACTTTTAAGTTGGGAAACTAACTAGAGCTCAAAAGTGCATTAAACATAGTTCTTAAAGAAAGCTTCGGGGAAATTTTAGAACCTATTTTTGACAATTAAATACAAAAAATGGAAAAATATACTTGAGGGTGCCCCTTGGAGAAATTGGTGACTTATGTTTGGCGCCATACTTGTTTTCCGGAACGCCGTGGTAACCCACAAACAGGACATTTATATCTATTACTAATTAAACCTTCATTCATACACCTGTCAATCACTGTCTTTTTTCATTTTTATTAAAATCGTGCAGAAACTTATTTATCTTATTGACAGTATTCATTTTTAGTACCAGAGGCAAAAATAACCTTACCAGCCGGTATCCAAAGTTGAACGAATAGATCTCTGAAATTGCATTTAAAAATTCATTTAAAAACAATGCTAAATTCTAAACTAATCAGAATCACGATTAAAATCTAAACCAATCAGAATCACGATTGGTTTTCAAAATCGCCCAGTTTGGCGATCAATCGCGATCACAACTTGGCGGGGGCACCCTCAAGTATAGTCTACCCCAAAAAATATTGTGAAAGGGGAAAATATCGTAGTACTACGTTGCTATACAACCGAAAAAAAGAAGAGGGGAAAGGAGAAGAGACAGGACTTGTATTCGGCCTTCTCCCCAGATGGCGTATATGCAATTACGAGTAGTAGTATATGCAATTACTGCGCCATCTATAACGCAGGCTTCTTTCTTATTTAACTGATCAACTCCTTCAAAGAAAGCTGTAAGCATCTACTTATCAGGCAATAATTTCTGAAATTATTCTTCATTATCACGGAAGAGAAGCAAAAAAAGTTCAAACGAGAAATAATTTTCATTTATCTGCTCAAAATAACTTATCCTAACGCGAAAATCGATTTTTCTGTTGAATTTTTTTTAAATAATTCATTTTAAATTGCTTTGTAAAAATGAACTATACTCAGTTTTGTATGGAAAAAAAAACTAATAATTTTTATGCTATCTAGATGTCTTTCTCCTTAGTATAAATAAACCGCATTTTCTGTGAGCAACATGGTGAAAAATAAGTCTTTCTCTTGTAATTTATGTAGCAAAGTTTTTTCGAATAAAAGTTGTTTATCTGTGCATAATTTGGTTCATACAAAAGAAAAGCAAAATTTTCCCTGTGTACATAAAAAAAATATTGGACTAGAAATCAGTGTTGATCAACACAATGATATCCTAACTAGTGAAGGATCTGAGACATGGGATCAAAACTGTTCAATGAAGTGTTGTTTAAACTCTCCTCACAAAGAGAAGCCATATTCTTGTGATATGTGCAATAAAAGTTTTGCACAAAAATTTAACTTAATTAGACATAAACTTGTACATTCTAAAGAAAAACTCTTTTCTTGCATTATTTGTAACAAAAGTTTTTCACTTAAGATGAATTTATCTAGGCATCTTCTTGTTCATACTGGAGAAAAACCTTATTCTTGCATGAAATGCAATAAAGGCTTCACAACTCCTTCTCATTTAAGGAGACACAAAATTGTTCACACACAAGTCAAAACATATTCTTGCACTGTATGTTCTAAAAGATTTTCTCTAAAGGGAAATTTAACTAGACATTATAAATCTCATGCCAAAGAAAAACCTTATTCTTGTGATTTATGTGGTAAATGCTTCTCGACCAGCAGCTATTTACCTGAACATATGCTTGTACACTCAAAAGAAAAACCTTATTCTTGCTCTGTTTGTAATAAAAGTTTTTCCTTACAACGTAATCTAAAAAGGCATAGATTTGTACACAATATGAATGAAAGACCTCATTTATGTAAGCTGTGTAATAAAAGTTTTTCTACAAGTTATGATCTGAAAAGACATGGGCTTGTTCACTCTAAAGAAAACAAGGTAGATGTTACATTTATGTCCTCGTCATAACTAAAAATGATTAAAAAGCTACTTAAAATAAAGGCCATTGCAATAGCCTTTTGTCTCGATTGGTTTCACAGAGGTTACGATTCTACAATTTAGAGAACAGCATAGTTTCAAAGATGTAGTCAAGCAGGATGTTGATATTTGCATAAGCAGAGAGTGATAAAAGTTGCAAAGTTTAGAAGACAGGAAAAATTTTTAGGAGCCAGCTTCTAGAACTACTGTGACTTTATCTCATTTGCTGCAAAATAGAAAACTAGCATTTCATCCCCATAATTGACAATTTTTTTTTTATGGGTCATATCTGTCTCATTTTTGCAGTAAAGAAGTTAAATATCAATATAAAAAATCAAATGGAACAAAAATTTTATAGCAATAAGTCTTTTGAACTATAATAATTGTTATAATTTAACAAAACAAACAATGAAAAAAAATACTAAAGCAGTAGGTAAATTCATATTTCCTTTAATATAAACATTTACTTGGATATATATAAGGTTCGCTCTAAATGGCGACAATTTGTTTGGAGTAATTTTTTAATAATTATTTTAATGTTTGGAATAAAAATAAATTTTAGCATTGAATTCCATGCAAAAAAAAATAATTGCTGTAATTTTATTGTTCTACATGTAGTATGGAATTCAATTGTGTGGTATTCAAATGAAATAACTGAAAGTGTCTGGTACAAAAAAATTTTATATTAAATGCTGAAATTTCAAATTTATATCTTGTCCTGTGCTTTGCGTTCTTGTACTGATAGTATAATTGTCCGTCAATTAAATATTTTTTGCTTTTTTAGAATTAACTTTATTTAAAATTTTATAATTTTTAGAATAATATTTTGTTATTTATCTGGTCTTAGCATTTTAGTCACCATGTTGAATCTGTTTATTAATATTATTTTACCTTTTTTCACTTAATTTTGAAAAAAATCTTAAACTTTAATCATTATGGAATAATGAAGCAAAATGGATTTTAGGTGTTATGGATGGCAATAAATAAATTTTGATATGTACCATAACATGAATGATGTAATTGTGAAGTTCAGTTTTTTTCTTAAGTTTTTAGACCACTAAATGAATATCTAGGTGGTCCTATTGGACCACTAGATTTTCATTGCTCGTGTGAAGTGTAGATTTATACATTAACATTGCATTTCAGTTTCAGCATTAAAATATTATTTATCAATTAATACAATTTTTTCACAAAAAAAGAAATCAATTTTGACTTTTTTTCCTGATGAATCCTGCTTATAACAGTTAAAACAAAAGTAGCATAATAATTTGTTAAAGAAGCTGAGTGCCAAGGAAATATTTCTAGTTACTTGGGCAACCTAGAGACCGGGATTTGTTGATCCTTGTGCACAAGCTACCACTTTTCCCAGGAAAAATTGCTTCTATTGATCCAAAGCTGAATAAGAGGTCACACCACCATTCTGAACTGTTCCAATTCCCTTAATATATCTGACAAATATTGAAAATTTTTATTGATTGCCCTTGCCCATACTAAAAAACCTTACTCATGTGTCTAATGCAATAAAAAATTTAGTATTAAAAGTAATCTAAATATGCGTATGAGAGTTCACACTAAAGAATAGCTAAATTCTTATGACTTGTGCAATTAAGACTTTTCTTAAAGGACTACCAAGAAAATACATTTGTTCATTCAAATGAAAATCTTACTCCTATGAATCATCGTTAGATAATAAAGACACACATCGTGCATGGATACCTTGGCAGAGATTCTCAAATTTTGTGGGTACTTTTTTCATATTTTTTGTAATATAAAAAAAAAAGTATCCACAAAACAAAAAAAAAACTTTGTGGGAAGAAGAAAAATAAGCACATGACTACATAATCATAATTCATGCAAGATAAAAGAAGATTGTTTAGTTGTATATGTGCTACTACCGAAGAAAAAGATAAAACTGATCATTTAGCCCAAAAAAAAGTTATCCCATCGTTAGCGGGCGAGCAAACAACTTGATATGACTGTCACTTTACACAAAAATAAACAATTACAGTTACAGTAGGAAACTTTTTAATGTAATTTCGTTTGTTTATAAAAATGAAACATAGTTGGCCAAGTTTGACACAAAAGTTAAATATTGATTTCACTTTAAAGAATTTTGGGTGCAAAATTATTCATATTACTTAATTCTTAATCCGATAATAATTACTTATCACTGAACATACCAATATTTTACAATACAATACAGTACAACATACTATAACCAGTACAGCTATGGTATGTTTAGTGTTAATATAATTGCAATTCTTTAATTTTATTTTTGTTTATAGTATTTATTTTAATAATCCTGTAGTGTCTGCAGATGCTAATTTTTTTCTATTTTACTATGACGTGAATGAAACACCAAAGCATATTCATCTAAGCCTTTTCTGAATATGAAGTTCACAGTAAAGAAAAGCCACTTTCAGAGTTAGCACAGTACTTACCATGTTATTAAATATTTACTGTTATAATTGTTTCCATTTAAGCATATGTAAACAAGAAAATTAAGAGCAAAATTATTTCAAAAAGCTAGATTAAAATAGTGTTTCATGTTTTAGAAAAAAAATTCCAGAGTTGAATAAAAATTGAAGCATGAATATTCGAATGGTTGTAAGTGCCAAACATTTCAATTCATTGTAAGAAATCAATAATTTTTATATATTTTAAACTAAACTCAGTGACGCGACAGCACAAGGAGGGCCAAGGTCTACGGGACATGTCCCAGTTTTCTTAACTTTCTGTGGTCAGCCGAACATAGAACCCCCAGTGTTCAATCCCAAGCATGCTTCCTACTAATTTAAACCTCTAAAATTGACCCACTAAAGGGATGAAAAACTCAGTTTGTATATTTACTTTTCTGTATTGCACATTTAATTACTCTCTAACATACCTTATTCGTGAATAGACTTTTTTTTTTGTATTTTTGGGAATCAATATTATCATTTTATACACTTATATAAAATTTTCTTCTAATACTTAGCTGGTTTTCAAAAATCCTGAGCTTATTGAACTTTTTTATTTTAAATCTTTATTTTTTCTTTTCTTTAAAAACTATAAAATGTAATTAAAAAGTTTTATTTCTAAATTTAAAAATGAGATTTCATTTTATCAAAACAACTGTTAAAACTTACCTCATCATATGTCTCACAATAACCATTATATCATTGTAGCTCCACAATACATGAAACCTAATTACTAGTCTAAAATTCCGAATGTTTATTTTTGATGGTTTAGAAAAAAATTTAAATTCATTATCTGTAAATTAATTAGATGTAAATTGTAATTGTTGTTAAAAGTTTCAAGAAAATGTAGGCATCTTATTGTAAAGTGAATAAATCTGTTTGACTATCAGAGATGATTGGGCTCCGGATTTTTCGTTAACTTCGATCCGAAAATTTCGGAAATCATCAATCACATTTATGTATAAAAATTCTTGTATATTTTATTTAAAAATATTAGAACTAGAATTATGCTTGGCATCTCTTTCATTTGTAAATATTTTTTCTGGTCGAATAATAAATGTGATTAGAGATAAAAGTAAACTTACACAAAATAATTAATTTAAATTATACTGCATACAATTTATTCAGAATTTTATGTTGTAAAAATATCAACATTAATTTTATGTTGTAAATATCAATTTATAACGACATTAATTTTTTTAAATGAGTCATTAATGATTTTACTGAAGAAATTTTCAGGATTTTTGAGTTGGACTCACAATCACCCCTGGAGTATAAATGTAACACATTATGCATTACTTTGCAAAGTACTTGAGAGTGTTGCCTCATATTCAATTTATTATTTGTTTATGTATTTTATTGTTATCCTGATATATTTCTGTTTGTGTACCTGGCAACTTTGATACAAAATTTGTTTATGTTCTACATGGTTTCATGCCTGTCTTTGTGTTTAGTAAGAAGTAAGCGAATGAATTGAAATCTTTGTGAAAGAATATAAAATGTGTCACCTAAAAGGATTGTTACTTTCGACTTACTCGAAACACAATGAAAAGAGCGGTTACTAACGTAAACAAAAGCTGCATTTCAACTACCAATCAGGAGCGAGATACCCACACTACTTGACTTGCAGGTATAACATTGTGTGAATACCCCTAGTATATATTAACCCTAGAGAAGAAGTTTGACAAAATTTTATCCTTTTCTATTTATGTTATTCGTATTCTTCATAATAAGTTTTGTGATTATATTATTTTGCTCTGTAGCAGCACTGTAAACTTTTTTTTCCGACACTTTACATGAACGACACTTTACACGAACATGACTCTCATCTATATAGATTCATAATATTAGAGGGACTGGAAAGTAAAGTCCTTTTGGTGCATTTGATATTAGTTATAAAGATTTTATTTTTAATCAATAATATATTCACCCTCCTTAGCAACAACCTTTCAATGCCGTATCCAAAATTAATTTGGTCTTGAGGACTTGCGAATATTTAATGTGCCAAAACGACATTACTTTCTGATCCCCTAATGTAATTTAATAATTAACATTTGGGAAATGAAAATTTGAATAATGCAAATTGAAGTGTTATCTTACATAATTTTGTGAATTCTCCACCCCTGTTGCTTTTTCATCATTATTCTCTTTCACCCAACCTATTCAAATATTAAATTTTTTTCTTTATTTTCATCTGCTAATAAAAGCCTGGAGCATGTGGGAAGTTTTGAGAAAAGTTATCGAGTGAGAACTGAAATATAATTTTTTATGTAAGTGTGTCTGTGTTTGTTTTGCTATCGAACAGAAATTTGGAGTTACTGCAACACTGTTAATTAATACAGAAAGAGAGGCATCATTTGGTGCATCAAATAAAAATACCCTACTTCCCATAATCGTATAAATCTCTCTGTTCCAGAGAAAAAAATTTATTCCTTTTTTTAGATAAAAGTTATTTTTTCTAATGTAAGGAGTGACCTAACATCTTTCTAAGTTTAGCTATAATTGAATGGCTTCTGGAAGTACACTGATAAACTGCAGTCTGCAATGTATTTTCTTATTTTAAATCTACTTATGAAGAAAATTAAACAAAGGACACCACCTTTTTCATGTAGGCAATGAGATGTTTTGTGTACTGTAATGTTGTTTACTGAAACTTCCATGGAAACATCCAGAAACAATATTGATAGTTTGCATATATGGTTCATATAAATGAAGTTTGGGGTATCAGTTCATCACCATACCCTCCAATTCATGTTTGGATGCATATTACTTTAATGTATAACGAGTAAAAAAAAATTACTCAACTTTTGTTTAGATGGTTATATTTTTTGGTACTAAAACCATTTTTAATAGTTCAAAGGGTAGATTTCATGTATGTTAATTAAATTGTGATTTCTGCTAACTATTTAGTTACTGAATTGTAGAACAACACTAGTTAATTAACATAAGAGATCAACCCTTTGAGTTTTAAAAATTGGTTTCTAGTATATTCTGGGTTAAGTTATTTGTACGAAAAATTTTACTAACACTACTTCTCGAAGGGACATGCTCTTTCGATCGACATTCCAAGAAGCCGCTTTTTCTTTATATATATGGAAGAAAGTACACATAGATATTTTCCCCTTTACATAATATTTGAAGAAACAAAACTCTAAACGTAAATGTTTGAACCTCTTTCTCGGCAAATATTGACATTCCAAACTAAATTATAAAGGGGTTTTAACCACCATGCGTTTATACTAAGATGACCAGAAGTTCGCAAATCTTGAGGACAGCATTGTAGCATTAATTGCAGTATATACTCGAATATTAGTATTAACTGGGTGCGAATTATCTGAGCCTCACAAATGGGCAACCAAGAATTCGAACTAGAAATTTTAATTTCATGGTTCAAATTGTTTTAAATAAAAGAAATTTTTTAGATGTAAATTAATTATCTCTCATTTAGCAGTATATATTTATTCTGCTTGCTGGCAGATGAGCAAGCAATTATTTGGTAAAGCTCGCTTGAATTCGGGGCATTTTTTTAAAAAATTCACACACAAAAGTTATCTTGTTTAATTAATTGTAATTAAATTAAATTGCACGAATATTGGTGATAAAAATGGGCTGCAGGTGGCATAGCGCAGAACTCTCCACCTATAGCAACACTTCGCATGCTTTCTACATCAGCGCGTGGAGAGTCATGGAAAAAGGAAGTACGTTAGTTTCTATCTTGATTTTCAAATAAATAAAAATCTTTTAAGGTGGGAAACAACATGGAACTGAAAACTACATTAAACATAGTTCTAAAAGAAAGTATTATGGGAATTTTAAAAAACATTTTTCTTAATTAAAAGCGAAAAATATTGAGAAAAGGAAAAATATCGTAGAAAAAAATATCATTCCTATACAACTGAAAAGAGGAGAAAAGGGAAAGAAGAAGGGCTAAAGGCATGGAACCGGTCTTCTCCCCAGGTGGCGTATTCGAACATTGCGATCGCCTATTGAGTGAAAAGTTGTAATTACTCTGATTCCACAGTCCTGATTAAATGTGCTCAAAAAACTTCAAACTCTTTGAGGACAGTAAATTTTTTAACATGAGTATTCGCGATCGCAACACTCGAATACGCCATCTGGGGAGAGACCGGTTTCATGCCTTTAGCCCTTCTCCCTTCCCTCTCCTCCTCTTTTCAGTTGTATAGGAATGTACTACGATATTTTCCCTTTTGTTAATATTTTTCCTTTTTATTTAATCAAAATATTTTTTAAAATTTCCATGATACTTTTCTTTAGAACTATGTTTAATGCAGTTTTCAGTTTCATATAGTGTTTCAAGTTGAAAGATTTTAATCTATATGAAAATCAAGAGAGAAACTAACGTACTTCCTTCCTCTATGACTTTCCACACGCTAATGGGGACAGCATGTGAAGTGTTGCCATAGGAAAAGAGTTCTGCTCTACGCCACCTGCAGCCCATTTCGATCGCCAATATGGAACAGGCTCCGTGGAACATATTTATAAAAATTATGTAAGTCGAACTGCTCGCACATATGCGAAATATATTTACGTGCTATCGCATTTTTGATGGCATGCTACCAAGGATAAATTGCGTTTAGCTTCTCATTGCGTTTGCTTTACATGCATGAAAATATCGTACTAGCTAGACAATTGGATATACTATAGCCTACGTCACAGGTTGTGTTATTCCTACTAAATTTAACCGATGAACGGCATTTTCTGCGAGCCGAACTTCAAGCCACAAATAAACAAACGAAGTGTTTAATCGTTTAAATAGCTGCTCGCCAGATTTTATTGCATTATAAAGAAAAGTAATTGATATTCGATTTTTGATTAATAATTGATTTATGTGGATAGTGGCATAGAATTTAGCATTGCGTCGTAGTAAATGTTTATTCCTACTATGGAAGTAGTTGTGTTTTTTTTATATTGTACCCAATTGGAACCCATGTAAACTTATTAAGGACCATTTTCACTACATGTGTTTCGCGCTTCTCACCACCTTCGGTGATTGGAGATGCGTGAATATTTTGCAACGTAAACGGTACCTTAGATTCTTCAAAAAGTGTGATTGGCACATAGTATATGAGTAAGCTACAAGCAAACTTTCTTTTTAAGCTTAAAACATATTTTCTATTTCCTAGTCTAAATTTTTAGCAGCCGTTTAAAATGTCTCTTTCTTGCAATTTATGTTGCAAAACATTTTCCTGTAAATCTAGCCTAAATAGACATAAATTAGTTCATAACACAGCAAAACGGTACTCTTGTAATTTTTGTGATAAAGTGCTTTCGTGCAAATCTAGCTTAAAGAGACATTATTTAATTCATACCCAAGAGAAATTGTATTCCTGTGATTTATGTAAAAAAAAATTTGCATTGAAATCAAATTTATCGCAGCACTATATTTCTCACACCGGTGAAAAACCTTATTCGTGCTCATTGTGCTATAAAACGTTTTCTCAGTCAGGTTACTTGAATACTCACGCGAAAATTCATACAAAAGAAAAACCTTATTCTTGCAACGTATGCGAAAAAACATTTTCTTTTAACAGTAATTTGAAAAGACATATTCTTTCTGTCCATTCTTCTGAAAAACCTTTCTCTTGTAGCCTTTGTGATGCAAGTTTTTCCCTAAAAGAGGGTTTAACTCATCATCATCTTTTTCATACTAGAGAAAAGCCATATTCTTGCATAGTGTGCAATAAAAGTTTCAGTTGTCAAAGTCATTTATCTAGACACGAAACTGTTCATAGGAAATCAAAATATTTTTGCAATGTTTGTAATAGATCATATTCTCTAAAGCAAAGCTCAACTGAACCTTCCAAAATTAAAGCTGATGATGAAAAATCGAATTTTTGTAAACATTTCACTCATAGTGATATATTATCTAGTAGTGTTGACAACTTTATTTTTGCAAAGAAGCAAACTTATCGTTGCTCAGTATGTAGTAGAAATTTTTCATCCGAGGCTAATTTGCATCGTCATGGTCTTATTCACAAGACAGAACAGCCATATACATGCATATTTTGTCAGAAAAGTTTTAGAAATAAAAGTGTATTGACTGTTCATTTGCGTGTGCATACCAAAGAAAAGCCTTATTCATGTGAGGTGTGCAATAAAAGATTTTCAATTAGTAGTCATCTATCTAGGCACAGGTGTGTTCATAACAAAGAAGATTAAAAGCAACTTAATGCATTTATGCCCATAACAAAGCACATTATTCTTGTAGTGTGATCAAAACTTTTCAAAGAAGTAGTTTAATTTTGCATTGATATGTTCAAACAGGAGGACAGCTTTATTTTTGTAATTTATGGCACATATCTTTTTTCTCACAAAGATTATTTATCTTTCCTTAAATTTGTTCCCATAGGACAAAAACTGGAAAAGTCTAGTTTAAAACCTACTCTTGTTGTTTTGAAAGTTGCCAATGTGGCAAGTTTTTACGAACTGTCCCACAACTAAGTTGAAACTGCGAATCGAAATAGCAGCAAAATAAATTAATAATATTTTTAATTAATAAATAACTAAGAAAAATTTTGAAAATTAACTAAATAATATTTTAATAAATTAGAAAAAAAAATTTTTTTACCTATTTTGCTGATAGATCCTCTTTAATTTAAAAAATTCATAAATAATCATAAAATTTTTGTAGATCAGAATAACTAAACTAAATAAATAATTAAGATAAATGCAAAAAGCATTTCGTCGCCAAGGGTGGCTTTGATTCAACCAGAAAAACCTTATTCTTGCTTTTTATGTAGCAAAACTTTTCTTGAACTAATTATTTAAAGCCTTATTCGTGTTCAATTTGTAACATATTTTCCTTAAAGAAGTAGTTTTTATGGCCATAGTATTGCTTAGACCAGAGAGAAATCTTTCTCTTCTTAAGTTTGTGCCAAACATTTTGCATATAAGTAGTATTTGACTAAACACAGCTGTGTTCATAACTGATAAAAATCGCAAAAGTTTTTTCTTTTGCTGTTTTTGTTGCAATTAAATGAGTGCAGAAAAGCCTTTTTATGTTTTTCTTAAAAAACCCTCTTAAAGATTAAAATTTATGAGAAAGGTTTGCCAGAAATTATTTCTGAAAAAAATCATAATTATGTTTAATATATAAATTTGTTTATATAATTATATTCTATTTTGCAGTCCTTGATACCTTAGTATCTGCACACATGAGTTTTGCTAAAATTTAGCTTAGTTATTAACAGACTTAAACATTAATAAAGATAGTGCAAACTAAAACTGATTTTCTAAATCTTTCTTATTCTATCTAAATCTTTCTTCTGAAAAAACCAAATAAAATGATTCTCAAATTTTTGTTACCATGAGTTTCATTTCTAAAAGCATGGTCCATTTTTTTCCTGGTGTTTCATATTTTGAAAGGAAAGTTAACAGTCTAAAAAAAAATTTTAGTCCGGAAAAAATTGAAAACAAAATTTAATCTTGCAACAAAGCTTAATAAATAACCACAACAAATCTTTTTTTGGTGGTAATTATTTATTGAGTATATTCTTCGGTATCACTTGGTACAGCTATTTTCTTTTGATAATCATTTCAAATAGTTTTTTTAATGTTTTTTTTTCTTATAATGAATGTAACGAATCTTTTTCAAACAATGGTAATTTATCTAGCTATAGTATGCTTTTTGACAAAAGAGAAGAACCTTATCTTTGCTTACTTTTTAACAAGTATTTTTCATACAAGGGTTATTTGATTATAAATAGTCAAATTTATAATAGATAAGAATTTGAAAAAAAAGGGGGGAAAGAAATGGTGATGTAACAAGCAATTTTGTGTTGTTTATGATAGAGAAAAGTAATGTTTTTGTTGTAAAATCTGTTATAGTAAAAATTTGATGCTAACTAGCAATGCCATGCTGTTTTTTACATGTTAAATTTTTTTTAAATATTTTTGTAGTTTATTTTTATTATTATGTATCATATTATTATGTAAATTATTATATATATAGTATTATTTTTATATTATAGTGTTGTCATTATTATGTGAATTAAAATTATATTTTGTTTTAAAATTATATACCCTGTAAGAGTTTTAATTTGACTAGTCATGTTACATTGTTCATGTTAAGAAAAAGTCTAATTTTTTAGTATGATATGTAATGGGGAAGTAAGAAGTGATTTTATGTTATTTATGATAAGGAAAAGTGATATTTTTGTTATATTGTCTGTCATAGTTAAAATCTGATACTAATTAGTATTGCCATTTTGTGTTTTTAATGTTAAAAAAATATATATATTTTTTAGTTTAATGTGTCTCGTAAGAATTTTAATCTAACTTGTCATGTCTCATTGTTCGTGTTCTCAAGTCATTTCTTTTAATATAATATGTATAATGTGGATTTTATTCTAATTAGTTATGTCATGTTCATTTAGAAAAATAGTTTGTGGTGAATTTTATTTTTGAACTATGCCAACCTTCATCTATCAGAAAGTACCTCTTGATAGAACCAAGTTAACATGTTTTATATACTAGGGAATTAGCATTTAATATTTATAGTGGTAGTTACGCCACAAGTTTTATGTGGTAATATACAATAAAAGTTTGCTTACATAAGTGCAAGCTTGTTGAAAATGCTTGTGTAATTAATGCAATTTGAAATTTTAAAAATTTTATTTTTAAACTTATCTTTACTTTATTAAAAAAATAGGGAAACTATGTTTTCTAGAACGCTTGTGCTAAAGGGTTTCTTTTAAGAATAACTCTTTTTTAAGAATGTACCAAAAAAATTTTTAAAAAAATTGGTGGTCCTGTTTAGTAAGTGTCCCAACTAGGGTTACAAAAATGTGTCAATATTTCCTTGGCGTAATAAATTTTTTTAGTATTACCATTCAATCAAATTTTTTTCTCGTAATTTATGTATTTTATAATTGTCTCGAAATGGTAATCTGTCTAACTATGTGCTTGTTCACAAAAAAAAAAAAAAAAAAAATCTTGTTCTTGTTTACTTTGTAACAAACAAATTTCACGTGAATGTCATTTAACTAAACATAATTGGTTTTATAACGGATTAGAATTATGCTTTTTTATTTTCAAATGGTGTTTTCACTTGAAATTTTATATTGCTTGTGATGAAAAAAGTTATATTTTTGTTACATGATATGCGCATAGTAAAAATTCTACTCTTATTATGTCATGTCGTTCATATTAATGAAAAATTGTATTTTTATAGTGTATGTATGTGTTTAGATAAAATGTATAATATGAATTTTAATCTTTATTGTATTATATGTTGTTTATTTTCAGGAAAGTCATAGTTTTATATTAACAATATACAATAAAAGTTTTTCAGTTAAAATCCACTTCTATATGTCTAAACATGTTCATTTAGAAAGAAAATAATTCTCTTGTAATAAACCGAAGTTTTGCATTATATACAACAGAATATAGACATAACCAAAGCAGTTTCATAATTAAAGCAGTATGTACGAATTTTTATTGTTTTTAAATTTTAAACAGGGCTTAAAAAATGTTTCTTCTTTTAAACTGTGCTAAAGAGTTAAAAAGGAATCGATTTATGTTGAATTCCTGGAGTGTTAAATTTGATTCTGATGAGCATGGGTGAAATAGATTTTAAGAAGATATTAATTTTCTAAACATCAATCATTAATGCACAAACATTGAACAGTCATCTCTTCTTCCTAGGGAAGATTATTTCTTATCCTTCACTAACTTTTAATTTTTTCACTTATTCAATACACTCTACTAACAAAATAAGTTACTGGTTTTGTGGAAATAACCAAATAGCTTATCTATTCTGACTATTTAAGAAAGCTTAGAAATATTATAACCTGAGAAGGAGTAAAGGGGTGCCCCGGTTAATTTTTATTAAAATCCCAAATTTGGAATTTAAATATTAATTTAGTGGCTGTTCAAGTGATGGAAATATTTAAGGACACTATAAAGATACAAGCTTTAACATTATGTCTTATTTAGTTTTTATTCACTGTTAAAAAATTATATTTTATTAATATTATATATATTCATTTAATATTATATATATTCATTTAATATTATATATATTCATTATTTATTATTATATATATTCAGACAGCAGCTAACAGTGTCCGTCTGTAATCTCTGAAATGAACTAACATTAAAAGTAACTTTATTTTTACTTTTTAAATTCTTTTTAATTATCCTAGAACACTGATGTTTTTTATAAAATTACCATAATTTCCCTCAACATATTTATTGTTTAAATATTTAGGCATGTGATTAATTAATAATTAAGAGTTTTGTACTAAAATTAAAACTGTATTTTAATGTACATGCATCAATTTTTAGAATACGGTTTTTAATAGTATTCCAAAAGAAATTTGGTACAAAAGTTGGATATAGACTCAATTAGACACAAAAAAGTATTGATACTACTAACAATGTATCAATAAACATTTCCTTTTGCAATCAAATCAGCTGTTATTGATATCCTCTTTCAATACTTTCATTTACTATCTATACTTATCTCTCCTGAAAGTATTAAAAAAAAACTTTTTCATTATAATACAATGCAAATTAATTCTAGCAACCTAAACATTTATTACTTATTGAAAATTATTCACAACAATTGAAATTAGCATGTCTAATTAAGAAGTTCATGTACTAAAACTCTGCTATGGCTGCTTTTTTAAAGTAAAAAAAATACGCTTTTATATTTCTTTTATCAAGCAGTCTTATAAGTGACTTCTCTCATATAAATGTTTTAATTTTAAAATTCATTTTGCTCTTAACATTAAATTTTCTTAATGAAGTTAATAACCTATATTTCAATAAAATTACTTAATTTTAATCATGCGTTGCATTGTTTGTCATTTTAAAATACTTTTTTTTTTAAAAATCATTGCTTAAAATGGAAAATATTTTCACTTAATTAATTTCAATTATTTTTATGGATGAGACTTTTAAGTCAATTTTTAATGATGAAGCTTCATTCTAGACAACAAGATTAAAAAAAATTTAAATATTTACTAGCATTGTTTACATAAAATTTAAACAGACATAAAGAAACCTAAAGCCTGCAGAAGAGACCTGTCTGCATTATTTTTTTCTTCTGGACTTTTAAATATTTTTATTTTCTTCAAGAAATTGATGATGAAGATAAAAGAAACCTTACAAAAATGGATTGCTTAAGGGTTCTCTTCAAAGCTCTTTCCCTATAA